CCAGGCGCCTGGATTCGGACATGGACGCCGCCCCTGGGTTGCTTCACACATGGGTGGTGCAGCGTGCATTCGGTACTCCCGCCGGCAGGCACGGCGACGACGGTCGGCCAGGGCCTGCCGGGCCTGCAAAGGCCCTGCAAAGGCCCTGCTAGGGTCGCATGGCAGGTGTTTTGGTGGGATCGTCATCCTCACAGACGTGTCCCCCCTCCGCAGGACTGGCAGGACCAGTCGAGTCGTGCAGGATCCCACAACCAACTCGTGTGCCTCGGGTGACCAGCAGAGACACACCCCTGAGCATTCTGAGCGGCCCAGCAGTTCGTCAACGAGGTTGGCTGACTGGCTGCGCAAACCATCTTTGTACGACGAACCCCGCATTACCAGACGACCACCTTCATGAACCGCGCCCGTGCCGCCAACGCTCTCGTGGCGCACAGTCGACCAGAGGCGGAAAACCTCGCGTTGTGTACGGATAAGCAAAGCGGCGACATTTGTCGATCAAAAAGCACTGTGAAGTCAATGGTGGCCCAGCGCAAAGTCGATCACGACCAGATGGAGCTTGTTATCTCCCCCAGATTATGCGCCACGTCGCAAACTCCCATGCGCCTGCCGTCCGTCATGTGCGAGCCAGTCGGTTCAGTCGAAGTCGCATCCAGACACCTCATCTCGTGGTTGGTTGGGAGGTGTTCCGATTTGCAAGTCTTGCCGACAAATGGCCTCCTGGCAAGTTTGGACCGTGCGTCTCATCCCCGCCATACTCCTGAGAAAGGAAAGGGGGGCCCCCTTCTTGGAGACCAGGGTTTTTTGGATCTTGGCCCCTGCCAGGATCTGGGACACTGGGACACTGGAGGTTCTTCGTCAGGAGGCGCAGCACGATGATGACGGGCCGCTACCAATGAAACGGCAAGTATAGCGGACGGGTAGGTGCCTGACCTAGGGCCAGGCCCTGGTTTACTGTCAGCCAGACGAGAAACGACGGCATGTGTTATACCACTCTAGTCATAAGAGGTGATAGCAAAGGTTGGGGTTTCCCGGACCGGTGCCGCTGGCGTCCACTATCTTCACTGCCCTCAGCCTGCTTCGCATAGGTAGGCGTCCTCGCGTGACTTTGAGCTCCACTCCGTGATCTTTTCTCCCCCCCCCCCCGTTCGCTCTGCCTCATACCACGTCCCTTTTCTACTCTTTGGTCTAGGAAAAGCGGGAATGCACCATGCTGTACACCTTCGAACGTACCTCGACCCTCGACCGAGTCTACGGACGCAGACACAAGCGGGCACAGGCACAGGCGCCGGCACCGGCCAGATTGACGCGAGCGGCTGCCACCAAGGTTAAGTGGACGGCGGCATGAGGGCCGCACGCACGAACGCACACCATGCATACCAGGCATAAAATCCCCTTCCGGTTCCCGCCCGGCCGTCGAGGATACTGGGGTGGGAAGCATTGACAGCCAATCCCATCGTCAAGCTTTTGGCATTGCTCGCCGGCATGTTCAACTGCCTGACGAGGAAGGGCTGCTGGACTGCGACCGACAGGCGGTCAAGGCGAGAGAAGCTCGATCGGTGGTTGCGACGGATCGTGTTACAACAGCACCACCGGCAAGCAGGCCTCGGACCTCCACGATCCATCAACCCGTCTCGGGACATGCCCCGACGCTCATCTGCCAGCTTGTCTCGCGCATCCTGTCTTGTCTGCCTGGCTCGCCGACCCGTCCCCACAAGGATTTGGGGGCGGGTCCTACACATTGGGATTCCTGGCCCTGATCGCTGATCAACCCTTCTTAGCATGGTTGACGTTTTGTCAACCCATGGCCCCTGACAAGGGGGATCCTTACAACGTGAAGGTCCAGCCATCTGGGGGCTTGTCTCCTGTGCGCTTCCAGTCCTTTGCACAGAGCCTGCGCAGGGGTCACTTTTTGGTCATGGCACGTGAGTAGCGGACGAACATGTGCGATACGCGACGGGGTATTCCGAAAGGTAATTCCACGGTAATTCAAGCCTGCAGCGCTGGCTGTAAGCAGTCGATATCCCCATCCGGTGCCCACGTCGTAGTGCTCTCATGGTCTCTCCTCTCCATCATCCCTGGCTCTGCGTCGAAGAATCGCCATGCAGATCGCCAGTCTGTGGATCAACTAGACGACCGAGCCAAGCGTACAACCAAGCCTCGTTGCGACCGTCTCCCCGATGGCCTCCGACGTTTGACACCCCAGACTCGAACCGTCCCAAGATCTAGGACTATCTCTCCTGGTCAAGTCGCCATCTGTCAAGCAACGGGCGGGACAGTAATTTGTCCCTTGGCTCTCTCCCCTTCCTCCTGTATCTCGCCCTGTTTTGCTCTATTCGGCCTTTCCCCGACCGCATCGTCAGCCCGCCGCACGTCCGCGTGGCTCCCCTCCCCCTTACAAGCTTTGTAAGGTGCCCCCGTTCCCTGTTGGCCGTCTTGCTTATGGTGTCCTTGTCAGTGGACATTAATGCCGCAAGCGCAGCTGGTCTCTCCACTGATGATGGGGTACTGATGGGCGCCATGAGCAAGGCTGGAGCTCTCGAACAATGTGCATTTCTACATGTAGGCCAGTCCACGGGTAGAGCTGGTCAATGCCGACGTTCAATGAGGAACATCTCGCAAGTGCTCCACTTCCAGGGTCTGTACTCTTCAGTGACATTCCGGAAAGATTGCTTCGTCTACCACGGTTGACGTATCGTGCCGCATGGACGAGGGTTGTTGTACATAACCAGGAGCTTCGTTATGGATCAACTGAGTCTTCACTGATCGTCTGCTAGGTCGGGGGTCAGAGATCATCACTGAAAAGGCCTGGTGGCAATGGAGGTGCTCCACCATACAAAGATGCCTCGTGGTCGTTCGTAATGATGCGCCCAAGATGCTTATCGTGGTGCTAACGAAAGGCTGCGCGATACGGACTCGACTCATTCACTGGTCCTACAACCTGATTGCAATAGCTGCTCAACTACAAGAAGTTACCTGCTTCGCTTGTGCAACCCAAAGCATCGGCCATACCTAGAGCCAAGTGAATACATCGGCCCACGCCTCTTCCTCCGGACAAGTGTCAACATGTGTACAGATCAATTTCACGGCTTTCTCCAAGCTCTACCGAAATGCGAACATCACGTCCACATCGAGGGTACACTCTCGCCTGAGCTTCTCTTTCAACTGGCGGAGAAGAACGGCGTCACCCTGCCTTCGGACACTGATGCCGCGTTTGCAAGTCCGTCGGCACTCCGCGCTCGCTACCGTGAATTCAAGTCACTCGACGACTTTCTACAGTATTATTACACAGGTTTCTCTGTCTTGCTGACAACCGACGATTTTGCCGACCTGGCTTACGCCTACCTCGCCATCGCCCACGCCCAATCGGTCCGGCATGCCGAGGTCTTCTTCGATCCCCAGGCACACACCTCGCGAGGTGTCTCGTACGTGACGGTCATCGAGGGCCTGTCGACGGCTCGCCGCCGTGCCGCGGTGGACTTCCCCCAGCTGTCCGTGGCATTTGTTCCCTGTCTCCTCCGCCACCTGCCGGTCCCGTCTGCCCACAGTATGCTCGACGAAATCGTCACCGCCGGCCACTTTGACGACGGCACCCTGATCGGCTTCGGCATGTCGAGCTCAGAGGCTCCGTACCCGCCCACCCTCTTCAGCTCTGTCTACGACGCGGCCAGGGCAGCGGGCATCCAGAACCTCACGGCCCACGCCGGCGAGGAAGGGCCCCCCTCCTTTGTGTCGTCGGCCCTCGCCGACCTCGGCGTGCTTCGCATCGACCACGGCCGCCGCGCCGCCGAGGACGACGCGCTGCTCGCGCAGCTCGCCCGCGACAAGACCATGCTGACGCTGTGTCCCGTGTCCAACGTGGTGCTGCGCGGCGCGGCGCGGCTCGCCGACCTGCCCATCCGCAAGTTCCTCGACGCCGGCGTCAGGTTCAGCATCAACAGCGACGATCCGGCCTACTTTGGCGGGTACATTTTGGAGAACTACTGCGCCGTGCATGACGCGTTCGATCTGAGCGTGGATGAGTGGGCTGGCGTTGCCATGGGTGCGGTCGAGGGGAGCTGGTGCGACGAGGCGAGAAAGGCTGTGCTCCGGGCCGAGGTGGAACAAGTAGTCGGCGAGTGGCGGGGGAGGCTGGCTATGGTTTGAACGAGTGAGTACACGAAAGGCAGTGTGACGTGGCGAGCAGCACGAGGCCCTTATTCTGTGTACCAACGAAGGCTGGGAGGACCACAGGGTCTGGGAAGACCATGGTCTGTATTTTGCGGGCACGCTGCGGCCGTCACCTTGTCGTGTTTATAGAAAGACATTCCCAAGACTTGTAGCGTAGTTTGTCTACGTTATGTTGTTTGTAAGTGGTTGCCAGGTTCATGTACTGATATGCATCCGCTGGTTCGAGTGAAGCACATTTCGGTAGGCTGATGTCACGTCACATACTGACGATCCAACGAGGATCACATACGAGGGACTGCGAGAGTGAACCGGGCATTTTGCCCTCAAAGTCTTGTCTTAAAGTACTTAGATATATCGGTCTACAAGGAATAGTAGGTCTGACCACGTGTCCAGGGTGGTAATACATGGGGAAACTTTAAAAGTCTATAAGAGTTATGATTAACATGCTCGGCAACACGCATGCCCCTTGACGAAAAAAGACGCGAGGAGCGCGCAAGAACTACAGGCCCTTCTAAGCGCAGACGCCAAAGGCATTCTGGCACCCGGTGCCACAGTGGTCCCTGCTCGTGCCGCAGAAGTTGAACTGGCTGCAGCAGGTGCCGGCCAGGCAGACAAATCCCTGATCGCCGCCGCAAGCGCCGTCGGGTCCGATGACGCCGGTGGGCGTGACGGTGCTCGTAATGATCACGGGAGTGGGGACGCCGGTGGCGGTCGGGGTTGCCGTGCGCGTGGTGGAGTACCAGTTCTCCTCCGGGTCGCCGAGACACTGGCCGACGGGGACGGCAGTGAGGTTCGTCGTGGCGAGGATGCGGAGGAACTCGGGCACGAGCACCTCGGCGGTGTTCTGGTGGACCTGGGAATCTGTCAGTTGGGGTCGTTCAGGGCACTCGGGGTTGGCGACGGTCTCGAGGCAAAGGCGTTGGTGTGACGCAGAAGGGGGGGGGGGGGTGTAGAACGTACATCGTGGGCCAGAGCAATAGTACCGCCGGCAGCAAGTCCCTGCTGGAAGATGCCGACGGCCGTCTCGTTGCCCAGGTTGTTGTAGCGCCAGTCGTTCGTGTCGAGATCAGCGTCGATGACATGGTAGCCAAGGGCACCGAGGATCGACAGTGTATCATCGTTGTAAGCGAAGTATGGGGGCCGCATGTAAGTCGGGAACCTCCCAACGAGGCTGATCAGGGTGTTTTCCAACGTGGTCATGTCCTCGATGATTTCCGCGTCGGACTGGGTCGTGAGGTCGGGGTGCCTGTTGGTGTGGGACCCGAGCTGGTGACCCTCCGCCAGGATACGCTCGACCGTCGGCCTGTAGTCGTTGATGTCTCCCCAGTTCTGGCCGTTGACGAAGAATGTGGCCTACCTTTGGTGTTAGCCGTGTTTTTAAGGGCGCTCGGCTCGATAGAGCAGGGTAGAGACTGACCTTGACACCAGCCGCCTTCAAGAGGTCGAGGACGTGATCCGTAAAGCTGAAAGGGCCGTCATCAAATGTCAGGGCAAAGGTGCCGGGAACGGTACAGCTGCTGATGGCCGCGCCGACGGGCACGCTGCTCCCTGGGCCATTGGTCGGGGTAGGGACAGGGCTGATCGCGGAGCTAGCAGGACTGATCGCAGAGCTGGCAGGACTGATCGCAGAGCTGGCAGGACTGATCGCGGAGCTGGCAGGACTGAACGCAGAGCTGGGAGGACTGATCACAGAGCTGGGAGGACTGATCACAGAGCTGGGAGGACTGATCACAGAGCTGGCAGGACTGATCACAGAACTGGCGATGCCGCTTACCGGAGCCGTGCCGTTCTTAACTTTGACGGAGCAACTCAGCGAGCTGACTGTCACGCCGGACACCAGCACCGTCTTGAGAGAACGTGAGAGTTGCATTTTTGAATATGTAGAGAGTGACTGAGGGTATTCGAACGAGCGGCTGTGGTTGACAAAGGAGTGTGAGCAGATGAGGGAGACGAGAAGGATGCAGTTCCCTGAACGTGAAGATATCTTGACCAGCTTTTAGCAGCAGCTCCCAACATGACTCTCCCGCGTGATAGACTCAGCATGTTGATTGAATGAGACCCCTGATCAAAACACTTTGTGAGAGTTTGCTTCATCCATGCACTGGTAACGCGGCCGAGTCATGCTCGCAATATATCGCATGAAGCAGCGTCGCGACTTGGCAGTGCCCGACTCAACTCAAGCTGTTAGAGTTCAATCCCGATGACAAAGCGGGGGCTCTGCTTCGCCTCAAGTGAACCGTATGGCGCGTCTGAGCAAGCTGCGCCGGTGTCCCATTCGGTTCTCTTGTGTTGCGCGTAAGAAGTTGCAGATCACCATCTGCCGGAGTTTCCCATCGGGGTGGCCCGAGCCTACCAACTGGATGGCAAGCAGGTTGATAGGGTAGAGATCCCTACCGTGGCCCATAATTGTAGCTTCGCGACTCAACCTAGCTCGGGGCTGTGAGCACCATTAGCCGCTTGACTTTTTACCTAAAACTAAGCTTACTCGCCGTCAAAGCTCGTATTAGGGGCACCAGTACCTTAATCCGAATAGAGGTTTTTGGGACGTCTGCCTGTTCCATGATAACGGCCTCGTCAGTCGTGTCGCGTTCAACCCCCTATAGCAGGCATTGTGACTCGAAGGACGAGAGAAAACGCTGGCGCTCCGAGGCTCCATCCATGCCACTCACGTCACAAAAACCTGCTCCTGCGTCTTGTCAGATCCATTATTTACCGCAAACTGGTCATCAGCCCAGTCGGGAACGTCGCCGTTGATGCTAATCCTGGTTGTTCCCACCTTGCGACTGTTCCCCTCATTTCCGAGCCTCCCGTTTTGAGAGAAGCTGGGGGTGAACGGTCACCCGGCAGTCAGGCGGCATTTGTGACGGATAGTCCGAGGGGCCGGGCCCGAGAGATGTGTAGCAATAGAGTTTGAGGGTTGTCCAATTTCGGGACGACTTGCAGTAGCTTATTAGGCGCGGCCCTCGATGGTTGTCAAACCATTTTTGACGTCTTTGTGGCGCTGCCACCAATAAACCAACTGCCGAACCTGGGCTCTCTCAGAACCAGCCCACAGAACAGTAGAATCAAGATCTACCTAAAAGCGGATCATACGTGGGCATGTCCACGTGCTGGCGCCCCTGTACTTGTGTCGAGAACCGTGCTGGTGGTGCATTGCTACGTCTATCATGTGTCTAGTCTTCCTCTCCCAAGCCCGTGAGTCCTCCAGCGAGGCCCTGCATCCTGCGGCCGAGCAGGTCGTCCGAGCTTTTGAGCTTGTTCAAGCTCTTTCCCGTCGTCCCGCTCCGCGGCCTCACGCCCTGTCGTTGCCTCACTCTCCCATTTGTCTCTCCGTCACGCTCCTCGTCGATGGGCTCTACGCCCGGCTCCGCGTCCCGCGAATCTTCATATGCCACCTCCTTACCCTTGCCCCTCCCCGCGCCACGGGTCCGCTCTCTGCCACGCCCCGCCCTTGTCATGGCAATCTCCAGCGGCCGGTCTTCGTCTGCGCTCGATTCCGTGAGGGTCCGCGAGTGGTGTTTGCCCGACCCATTGGCCTTGGCCGACAAGTCGTCCACCTGTCGCCTGCCGAGCTTCTGCTCGCGCGTCCTCCTTCGCCGCCCGGCATCTGCTTGAGCAAAAACGTCGCTGATCCACTCGGCGGACCGGTCGATCAGCCCCCATGCTGGAGGATAGACGGTCGGGAACTGCAAGAACCCGTGCGAGACACCCGGCAGAAGAGCCACCTCGGCGACGTCCTTTTCGTTGAAGCTGTCTCTGCGCGTGCCCTTCCTTGACTCGTCCCTGTTTTCCTCGTGTACCCGCTGCTGCTCCCACATTGCCTCCTTCACCTGTCTCAGACGCGCCGCAAAGATGACGGTGTCGTCGACAAGCGGGTCGCGTTCGCCAGTGAGGAAGTGAACCTTGGGAAACTTGGCGAGCAGAGCATCCGGCGCGAGCACGGGCGAGAGCAGGTAGTCCTGGCTGAAATCTGGGCGGTTGTGGGGGCCGATGTAAAGGATGATCATGGCACGCATCATCTCAGGCGTGAGGACACGGTCATTGAAATACGAGATCATAGATGACATGGCGAGGCGGGTCCGAAGTGGTTCGGCATGGTGTGAAGTGCTCTTCTTTCGGCTGAGTGTTTCGGATGCGGGAGAAGAAGAGGATGCGGCAGCGGTAGCAGCAGCAGCAGCCGTCGACGAGGCGCCAGGGCTGGCCAGGTTCCGAGGCCCGCTATGTGAGTATTCTGGCTGCGGACTCTGGAGAGGTTGTTTTGCGGTTTCACCTTCCGGACTCTTGACCGCCCTGAGACTGAGAGACGGATGCTTCGGCGGCGTTGTTTCGTCTTCGTCATCAGACTGATGAGGGGTGCCGACGAGATCATTGTACTGCATGCTCTTGCGGCGAATAATGGACTTGTTGGTGCCCCGCATGCGACGGTCTTTCATCAGAGACATCTGCTCGTCAGACATCCAATTGCCAATATTCATATCAAGACCCGGATAGAACAGAACCAGGCCGTCAGGCAGAGGCAGGTCACCCTGGTTGAAGTATCGATTCATCGGTGGCGACGTGCGCTCAATGATCATGAGGGTGGTGGCTGTGGCCAGGTTCCCTCCAGCACTGTCACCTGTGAGGACCAAGGTGGGTATGTCCTTGCCGGACATGCCGATGCAGCGGCCGCGGCTCTTGATGATGGTCGTGTAGACGTCAAAGCACTCGTTGAGCGCATATGGGTAGGGGAATTCGGGTGCCTTTTTGTAGTCGAGGCTGAGGACTGGAAGACCTGTTTTGACGGCCCAAGCAAAGAGCTTATCATCGTTGCATCGTGGATCCATGGCGACGAAGCCACCGCCAGGGATATCGAGGACGATCTTGTTGTGTCGCTCGAGGTCGGCCAGGGGACCATCATAATAAAGCCAAGCAGACACGGGATCGGTATAGTCGCTGCCGGCGGGTCGCGGGATGCGGACGGCACGCGGCGGCCATCGTGTAAGACGCGGTCGCATGAGGCCCTGGAAGAAGCTGATGTAGGGTGTTGTGCCTTTGTTCCACGAGACACGAAGGTGCTCGACGGTCAACATGCCCCGAACCTTGCGCACCTTCTCGTCGGCTCTCTCGGCAGCGACCATGTAAAAGAGGGAGAAGACAACGCTGGCGATGTCACGAAGCCATTTGGATCGGATCCTCATGGCGGTCCAAAACCCGGCGTCGAGGGCGGTCAGAACCCAAGTGGCGCGGAAGTAGGCCTTCTCATACATGTTCGACATTGGCTCGGGGCTGGCCAGGCCAAAAAGAGTGCTGAAGTTGCGGGCGGCGTAGAGGTAAATCATGGTCAGGACGACCGTCTGCCATGCCGTGAGGCGTTTGCTCCAAAACCTTGAGAGAAAACGAACAAAGGCCGGGCCATGTTTGTGGCCTCTGGGCAGATGGTCAGCATGTGTGTCGGCGCGCGTGAGTTGACCAACCCTCAAGGGCTTCAGTGTAGCGAGTCATGAGGGGAAGGTCAGGTCTCACCGATGCATGTAAGCCGACCAGAATGCTAGGACAGCCAGGACCTGGAGGCGCCGTGACTTGACGGATGGCCTGCCGAGGACGTGGTCCAACATGATGGAAGCTCGAAGACGCAAATTTGATGCAGAGGAGGATGCTGATGCTGATGCGGATGCAGAATACGGAATGGCGTCAAGGGAAGATGATTATCAACAGACGAAAGCAAAGAAATGGTGTGGTGTTGGAGCACGTCGCACAGAAGCCCACTTTGCGTCACGTTCACATGACAGCGTGGAGGCCAGCGTGCGAAACGTCCCCAAACTGCAGGGCCTGACTCGTTCTCTGTTGTAGCATGTGGTGGTGGTGTATTTGCGTCCTGGGGGGTTTGGACGAGGGGCAGACTGGTATTTGCTGATGCAGGTTTGAATGAAGAAGAGGCAGTTGGATTGCCGTGGGGGCAGTCAAAGAAACGGAGTCCGAAGGAGGAAGGTGAAGAGAAGAGACACATGTGTCAGTAGCCCGAAAACATGCTAATGAGCGAACAATAGACGAGACACCAGGCGACGGAGGGTCTGAGGTCGTCGTCGCGGTTGTCGTCATGGATCACTGGCATGTGAAAGTGCGGAGGAGAGGAGCGACATCTCCCAGGCCCCAGCCACTTTCCCATGTCCGGATGCCGACTCCCAGGGTATCGCAGCCTATCGGGTGTCCTGGATTTGTGGCTGGAGAAGCTGGTCCACGTGAGCCGGCTCGAATTGGCATTTAGTGGCCGTTTGCTTTCGTCTCTTGACCTCAGGTGACAAGCGGGCTAGGGGGGCCAGAGGGCCTTTGTCTCTCAGGTGATGTACGATCGGGACCATGATGCGTTGGCATACGTTGGCCGTGATGGTGCCTCATCTTGCATTGCAACAGCTGATGATGATGCTGCTGCTGCAGAGTATTGCATGGAGGATGGATGTCTGGGGAGGTGAAGCGAAGGAAGAGAATGCTGTGTCTTGTAGATGGCAGGTACATGTACAGTAACTTCCCTCGTGTGCCCCCTTAGGTAAGCGGCTGCAGACTCCAGCCGAAGCTCGGAGTGCGACTTTCGGTTATCGCCTATCAATTGCAGCATGCTATCGATAACGCTCAACGTTCGAGTCATCCAGCGATGTCGCCCAGATTTTTGTGTCAGTGGTTGTCGAGGTTCACCGAGTCTGAAGAGTGACTGTCCCTCCATAACTCCCTCAACCTCGTTCTTCCGTTTTTCAGGGCCAATTCGTTTTCGCTTCGAACCTACACACGTCACAATGGCTCTCCGAATACCCTTCCGAGTTCAATTGACCAAGGCACAGCCCTGTGTGGCTGCTGGCGCCCTTCTCGCTCGCCGTGCTCTCTCCACCACTGTCCGTACAGAAAGACCCCTCCAAGCACCCCCCCCCCCCCCCCTCCTCCTGATGTTTGACTGACCATTTTTGGCCCCCTTCACCACAGTCACACAAAGCTGCCGTCACAAACCCTGACCCGACCGATGACTCTCCCAGCGCCGCCCTTGTGGCCGAGCATGCTCCCTACATGGTTGCCACCTACGCTCGTCCGCCTCCTGTCTTTGTCAAGGGCGAGGGGTCCTGGATCTGGGATATCGAGAACCGAAAATACCTCGACTTCACCGCTGGTATTGCCGTCAATGCCCTAGGCCACTGTGATCCCGAGATCACCAAGCTCGCCGCCGACCAGGCCGCCACCCTCGTTCACGCTTCCAACCTCTACTACAACCCTTGGACCGGTGCCCTGTCCAAGCTCCTCGTGGAGAAGACGCGCGCCGCTGGGGCCATGCACGATGCGGATGCCGTCTTCATCTGCAACTCGGGCTCCGAGGCGAACGAAGCGGCCATCAAGTTTGCGCGCAAGACCGGCAAGCAGATCGACCCCTCCGGCAACAAGACGGACGTCGTCTCCTTCCACAACGCCTTCCACGGCCGCACCATGGGCAGCTTGTCCGCCACGCACAACCCCAAGTACCAGCAGCCTTTTGCGCCGATGCTGCCTGGGTTCCGTGCCGGCACCTTCAACGACATTGATGCCATTGATGCTCTCGTCACTGACAAGACGTGCGGCGTCATTGTCGAGCCCATCCAGGGCGAAGGCGGCGTCACCGTCGCCACCGATGCCTTCCTGACGGCGCTCGCCAAGCGCTGCCGCGCCGTCGGTGCCGTCCTCATCTACGACGAGATCCAGTGCGGCCTCGGGCGCACCGGCACCTTCTGGGCCCACGCGCACCTCCCAAAGGAGGCCCACCCGGACATCCTCACGACGGCCAAAGGCCCTCGGCAACGGCTTCCCCATCGGCGCCACCCTCGTCAACGCCCACGTCGCCGACAGATCAAGGTCGGCGACCACGGCACCACCTTTGGCGGCACCCGCTGGCGTCACGCCTCTCCCACCACGTCGTGTCGCGCCTCGCCGACCCAGCCCTGCAAAAGAGCGTCGTCGCCAAGGGCGACCTCTTCCGCAAGCGCTTCGACGCCTGGCAGGCTCGCTGGCCGGCCCTCATCACTGAGGTCCGCGGCAAGGGCCTCATCCTTGGCCTCCAGCTGTCGCAGGACCCCACGCCCATCGTCAAGGCGGCCCGTGAGCGCGGCCTCCTCGTCATCACGGCCGGCACCAACACCCTTCGCTTCGTGCCGCCCCTGACCATCACCGAGTCGGAGATCCAGCAGGGTCTGGACGTGCTCGAGGAGGCCATCGTCGCGACGGTGGCGTGAGAGTACGGCGAGAGGCTCGAGTTGGGGGGATAGGCCCTCCTGCTTCCGCGAATTGACGTTATATAGATGGTGATGCAGATAGAGGCAGAGCGCTGTTTAATGATTCCCCTTCGTTGCTATTCGGCGCTACCAAACGATAGACGTTGATGTACCTACGTGTGTTTCCGCTGCTCCAGAACACATGAAAACTTGCACCGTACAGTTCAAACATGTGGTCAGGTTTCTAAGAGGCAGTTCGTCCATTCTTCAGCAGGGCAACGCCCAAGGGAGAAAAGAAAACCAATGCTTACTTGTATAGAGCGCCGGACGTCCTACAAATACATACAAAGCAAGACTTGCTCAGCGAGCGGCTCGTCGCTGCACATGCTGCTGTTCAACGACAGAATCCACACCAATAGTGTGTGCGCTCTCAAATGGCCCCCGTCCGCCCCCTCAAAACTCAGCTGCCAAGTTTCCACTCAACGTTACACACATCACCCGGCGTGCTCCTCGTCGTGCACTGCATTCTTCTCGCGCTTACAGCGCACTGTAGCCGCCGCGCGTGCCGCTGCCCTGCACCGTGTTGAGCACGCTGCGCGCCCAGTCCTTCAGCAGATAGGGCACGTCGCGGATCGTGTCGCCGTGGGGGAGCAGATCCCATCCCCTAGCGCCGTAGCGGTTGTAGTTGAGCCATGAGCCAAAGATGAGGTATGCCGCGATGCCGAGGAACAGGCTGTTCGCCGCTTGTCAGCATATCCGCCTGTCTGTAGAAGAAGGAACACTTGGGGAGAGGGGAGAGGGGGACGCACATCAAGACAAACCAGGTGAAGAACCCCCAGCCAGCGCCGGGAGTCTCGCCGCCGTCCTCGTTCCCGTTGCCGCCCTTGGGAGGGTTCTTGAACGCATCCTCGCACGCCCACTGAGTCCTCCAGGTCAAGCGCAGCACGTCGACGTCTCCCTTGTCAGACGGACCATAGCTTTCCCAGATGAGGGCCGCATCGGGCTTTAGAATCTGCTTCTCGCTGCCGTCTTGGTCGTCGCCTTCGCCCTCCTTCTTGTCGTCGCCTTTCTTGTCATCGCCCTCCTTCTTGTCATCGCCTTCCTTCTTATCGTCTCCGCTCTTCTCCTCCCGCGCCCTCAGCTTCGCCGTCGTGTCGTAGAGGTCCTCCGGCGTCGTCTCTCCCTCCAGACCCGTCTTCTCGCGGTCGCAGATGAACTCGATAATGGCCTCCTGCGCACGCGCCTTCTTATCGTGCAAAGGGTAACGCCCGCCCTGCAGAATCAGACGGAGGCCCTCCTTGTCGGCGTCGGCGTGCGAATCGGACCCCTTGAGCCTCTCCGTCTTGGCGTCCAGGTTTCCGCCGCCCCAGTCCTTGAGCTCGCCCGCGATGGGGATGACGCGCTCGATATCGTCGTGCTTCGCGTCCTCGTCCCGGATGTATCGCTCGATGGCGCAGACTGCAAGAAAGGAGGCCACCCCGTCAGTAAACGTGTAAGATGGCCAGGCCAAGCCAGAATACCGGTGGTGCAGAGGATAAGAGCAAGGTTACGCACCTCTGGTCCCGTTGGGACACTCGTCGCCCTTCTTCACGTCGCCTTTCCTCTTCAGCGGCGCGCAAATGTCCAGCGTGTACGACGTGTTGGCGTGCGAAGGGGGGTGCCAGGTGGACGTGACGACCGAGTGCGGGCCCTTGAGCTTTGACAGGTTAAAGTCTGCATCGCCCACGCGGATGTGATCGCATCGCAGCATGGCTGACACGGAGAGAGGCGCGAGCAGCAGCGACAGCAGCAGGGCAGTGTCTGTCCGCGGTGGAAGTGAGAAATGCATCGTATCGACTGGCCGAGGGGCGCGTGTCGCGTGAGGGCTAAAAGAAAATAGATGTCTGGGATCGGGAAGCGTGGGAAACCGACTGGACAAGCGACAAGGAGTAACAATGTATGAAGCTTGCGCCGGACGTAAAAACACAGTGTCGAAGAGTCGCGTGAGTCGTTTTCAAGGCCAAGGGAGCAGGCCAGGTCACTTGCGGTTCGTTATAGCGCCCAAACAGCTATTTGATCATCCAGGCAGCTAGGACAGAGATGGTCAGCGCCTGGGCCACAGCAGATTACATCATTGGGCACCTCACATCATCTCCTGAGCGCACGTGATGGGTGCTACCGGGATGACTAACCCACATGTCCCACGAGGAAATCACCATGGTCGACTGTACAGGCACAACTCGTTGGCCCATCAAGATAAAGACAGAGGTGATTGAAGACTTGTAGTAATTGGCCCGAATGGCCTGCCCAGTTACCTATGATACAAATCCCAAAAAGCACTGTCGCTCGCTCGAAACAAGGCGCGAGTGCGTCAAAACTGAGGACAACCAACCGAAATCCCTTCCCGATCCGTAAAACGCCGAACCATACAAGCCTTGCGAGGGGTATATAAGTGATGCAATACCGTGTGAGCCTGTTCATCCTCCGCCGCCATTACCTCAGTACCATGAACTCCTCTCACCCTTGAGAATATCGGCTCGTATCCATCGTCACACCCCTCGTCACCAACGCCACTGCACAAGTCCTACATGTGGTGGCCTTGACCCATCATGCCACCCATTCCTTGCATCTGCTGCTGCTGCTGCTGCTGCTGCTGCATCATGGCTGCCTGTTGCTGCTGCTGCTGATGTTGCTGTAGCGCTCTCCGTTGTTGAAGCATGCCTTGAACGTTATTCTTAGCTTGCATGAGGCAGTGCTTCTTGAACTGTTCCAGTTGCTCGGCCGGGATGTTTTCTGCGATGCCGCCCCACTTGTTCGCCAGGTCTTGAATGCCCTTGTTGTATAGCATTTGACTTTGCATCCGGATCTGCGATGTAAAGTGGTTGAGGTTGTTCTGCTGCTGCTGCTGCTGGGCTTGTTGCTGCTGTGCCTGCTGCTGCTGTTGCTGTTGCTGTTGCTGCTGCATCATGATGGCTTGCATGTTCATTCCCTGTCCATTCATGGCATTTTGGGCGTTCATCATGGGTCGCTGCATGTGATTGCCGGCCATCTGCTGCTGCTGCTGCTGAGCCTGGAGCTGTGCCTGCATCTGGGCCTGGAGCTGGGGTGACATTTGCGCGCCTGCCATGTGATTGCCTTGCTGCATATTGCTCAGCTGCTGCGCATAACGCTGCGCCATCTGCTGGTTGACCATGTTGCCTCGTTGGTGCTGTGGCAATTGCTGCTGCTGCTGGGCCAGTATAGCCCGCCGTTGCATTTCCATTTGCATTTGCTGCTGCGTCATCTGCTGACCATTATTAAAGTTCCCGTTCATCATGCCGTTTTGCATTCCGTTTTGCATGCCGTGAGGGATAGATTGAGCCTGCTGTAGGGCCCGTTGACGTTGCGCGATCTGAGCGGCAGCCAGGCTAGGGTCCTGGTGCATCTGTTGCATATTGGGCGTTCCCATCATCATACCCATCTGCGAGTTGGAGGCCATCATATTGGGCGGCGGGCTCGCCTGGGTCATGCGTGGAGTCGCGGCCATGGCGCGCTGAGGCACTGGCGTGCCCTGCATGTTGGGCGTGCCATGAGGCATTCGAGGAGTTCCGTTCGGATGGCTCTGCTGGCTCGCTCGAGACATGCTGTTCGTCATTGGCACTCCACCCATGTTTCCAGGGTGGCCCTGAGCCACAGATGGAGGGCGCGGCGGGCTTGCCGCCATACTCGAATTGGTCTGTTGCATAGACACAGCGCCTGGCATAGGCGAAGACATGCTGTGAGGAGTACCTTGCCGAACCACCGGCGAGGAGACTTGCGGTTGGCCGACTTGAGCAAATCTAGCCTGGGCCTGCGTAGGTATACCATTGGGGACTCCTCCGTTTTGCACAGCAACACCGTTCGGCATTCCCCCATTCGCAAGCTGTGCATGTTGTTGTTGGCTCGCGCTGGCTGCGGTCTGGCTGCGTTGGGCAAGAGCTGCTTGTCTCTGAGCCTCCTGCTGGCGAGCGCGCTTCTCTGCGGCTGCCTGCTCGCGCCGAGCCTTTTCTTCCTCGGCCTGTTGACGTTGTGCAGCTAGGAGAGCAGCCTGCTGCTCCTGCTGCGCCTGTTGCTGCTGCTGCTGTCTTTGCAGCGCAAGCTTCTTCTCGTTCTCCGCAGCCTTGATCTTCTCCTGCTCTTTCTTCTCGGCGTGCTCGCGCTTGATGTCTGCGATAACTTTGAACCGTGCGAAGTTAGGCTCAAAAGCAGATGTCACCGCCTCGTTCTCGCCGTCAGCTCCAGCCCCACCCGATTGCACGCCTCCGCTATCTGCGGACAGCCTATCGTCAAGCGTCAGCATGAAACGTTCCTTATCAGCCGCGAAAGCGACGTCTGCGGCCATTTCTGCAACGGTCCTCTTTCGCGTTTTGGGCTCTGGTGGTGGGTTGCTGTGTTTGGGGTGGGCCAGACTCTCCAGCAGGCGGATAGTTCCTCTGGCGTCCTTGGTCGGTTCAAGGTTGAGTACAGGATTCGTTGCGAGAAGAATCTGCGCTTCGGCATCAAGAATATTGCTGGCATCCAGTTCCATGCGCTCTTTCTTTTGCTTTTTGGCAGGTGGCGGCATACTCGAACCAGTAGGAGTAGGTGGTACGAGCGACATCGGCGTTGGTGGAACGCCATCTATGCTGCCGCGACTATCAGTCGCCATCTGTGGCGTGGTAGTTTTGATCATCAGATCCGCCTGAAGGCTCTGCGGCGTCGGATGTAGAACAACTGTAAATATCCTAGGTTGCGCCGGCAACTTGCTCTTGTGACCCTCACCGGGTAGGGTTGGGGCAGGCATGCTCTCTTTGTCCCGATCTTCAGTCGTCTTCTCCTTCGAGTCGTTCTCTGGCTCGGCAGCCCGGTCAGATGCTGTGCCCAGGTCATCTTTGGGATAGGGCGCATAGGGCGAGGGCGTGATATAAGGGTTATGATTATGTATTGAGTGAGGGACAATAGCATTGGCTTTTGACGCTGGGCGCTGAACGTCCCTTGTCTGCGCTGCTGTCTTGTGGTCGTGAACTTGTACAATCAGACGGCCTTCATAGAAGGCGACTCCTTCTTGAGTAAGATCTTGAAGTAGATCATGTGGGATAGTTCTCGTCCGAAGGTGCTCGAGGAAGATTCGCATTGGCGACTTGTAGGAGAACGTGCCGTCTTGCTGGTCGAAGCGGAAGTGCATAGGATGAAGATGGAGGATTAAAGAGGGCGGGTTCCCGGCATATTTGCTGAGAATATACTTGTCGGTAACGACTGCAAGTTGGACGCATTAACATACGATTGGTCTGAGCGCGCGATGGGGGGGAGGATGGGCACAATGCTCAACAACGTACTATATGGAGGCGGCTGGACGGATCGAAGCGAGGCCATTTCAATGGCCATGGAAGCTGAGCGCACTCCGGCGCTGTTTCTTGAGATACGGCCAGTAAGCTGTGCAGATGGCTCTCGTCGCGTTCTGTTCGTAGGGCGCGCCGGCGCGGCATTGGCGCCAGCCGAGTTGGGCGGTTTCTTTGTAGATAAAGATGGTGATGGTGATGATTTCGGCGCCATGTTGATTCCGTTCGTCTGGATTCCTGGAGGTACTGGCCTCTTGACTTTGGCTGTGACCGGCAACGTTGGCGGGTGGATCGCCGTCACGACAGGCGCCATACTGCCTGACCACGAGGCAAGGCCTCAAGTCGCAACCTTTGAGACTTTTCCCGTAAACTGAAGCTTCCCTCTTGTATGGCGCCGATATCGATCACTACCTCAACATTTGCAGGTGTGCGTCGTCGTACCTCGGTTGATGATGGGCGACTGATATGGGGCTGGGGAGGTCAAGCGCTGTGGCCTATTGGTTATGACGTCGCGAGGCGACAGGCACAATCGGATCGCAACTTGGACGTGAGACGTGGCGGTAAGAATAAGCAGTTGATCGAGTCGTGCGATCAATGCGAAATTGATCGTCGGGATGATGGAACTGCGACGCGATCGATGGATGTTGATGAGGGTGGGGGTAGTGGTCGGGGATTTGGCGATACCGTGAGGGATGGTTGTAGTCAGACGTGCCTATGGGGAAATCTGCGCGCGATGAGCCGCAGACAGAAGCGGTTAGAGCGAAGCGTCGCGGCTTATGTCATCACAAGAAGCAAGCCCACCACGGGAGCCCGCAGGTGAGAATCGTCGGGTCATCACGTGACAAGTTTGAGTCGTTTCAACGGATCCAGGTGTCGTCAGGCGGTTTCAAGATTGAATGACCATCATGGCGTATACCGAGTGTTCATTCAGCATTGTTGGTGCCGTCAGCCCGATCAATAATTTGGGGGGCATCAAAGCAATGTATCGAGCGAGTACTTGACGTCTCGATGCCCCCTACAGTACCACTTCAGCCACGAACATGATTGTGATAATCGTTTCCCATTAAGAACGTAAATAAACCAATCCAGCTTGCCAAGTCTCCGGCGGCAAACTATTCCTTGCCTTGTACGCGGCGGGCCCAGTCATCTCCAACGCGCATGCCGTCCACGACAACTACTCCCCTGCCGCGACCGACCCTCTCAGGCCGCTGCCACCACTTCTCGTCTGCCTTCTCTGCCTCCGACTCACTGTCAGCAAGTCCACCGTCGCCACTTTCTGCGCCGACTACGAGCACAATCTCATGACGGAGCCACGCCTGCATGTTTGTGACGACACTGCCGTTGTCGCCCGCCAGTGACTCCTGGAGGTACACAACTTCGGGTTGCAGATGACGCAGAATGTGGGCATAGCCGTTTGGCGAACTGAAAGGTAGAACCATGGAATCTTTCTCGACAAGACTAAGCGCCTGGGAATGAACAGCGCCAAACGCTGGACCGGCGGATGCATCAAGTACCGGACTCTTTGAAGACTCGCCGACCGGCGTCTGAGCTTGCTGGTGCTCAATATTGGAGAACGAAGAGCTAAGTGATGGCGGCGGAAGATTGCTCGTTGACTCCACTGATGTATCCTTAAGGCCAGGAGCGTAAATTAACACAAACACCTTGAACTTGGAGAAGTCTGTGTAACGTGGAATATGCGACAAGATCGACTACAAGAGTGTTAGTCATCAAGACGGTTCGTTGCCTTTGCTGAGAGTGTGAACCTACCGCGTGTTCCAGGAATCCGTCTTCGTCCATGTCGTTCAGGCTCGTGTCCGCGGAGACAACAATGACGACAGTCTTGCGCCGCTTCGCCGGCGCCCGAGGCTGGGAGTCGGATGGGCGGTCCTTCCGGGCATTGGCTTCCTCAGACCACGTCTCATGATCAGCATAGGCGCCCTTATCTTCCTCGCGTATAGCAGCAAGAGCACGTCCGGCGGCAGCGCCGGCGGCTGCAACGCCTGCTGTTACTGTCTTGCCAGCGTGCTCAAAGAACTGTTGAGGGCTCGGCGTGCGGCGCAAGGCACCGGACATGCGCGCTCCCCACGTCTCGTCGGTGGCATCCGGGTGAAGATGGGTGGTGCCTTGGGTCTGGCCCCTCGAATCCCCAGTCGAGGGTTTGGGTCCTCTTGTCGAGGAGCCGTACGCCGGGTTGTCGCCGTAATCGGCATTATCGTAGTCCAGACCGACATGATCGTCTTGCTCTGATACCTGATTATCATCCTTTCGTTGGCTCCATACCCAAGTAGCCACCCCGACTGTCGCGACAGTAACCGTGACAGCGAGGGGCACCCAATGACTCCACACGCCCCTCCTTCGCGACGAGTTATCGTATGGCGGCGACATTTAGGCCGAGGCTGTCATGGCAAGACGGCGCAGCGCCTTCAATTGGATGAAAGCAGGCTCGGTCGTTGGTGTATGGATGGTCGAGAGTCCAAATCGACAGGCAACGAGGAAGTGTCGAAACGTGGAGGAGCTTGTTTGTGTCGTCGTGAGACAGTGACATAGATTCCGGTGGGAATGGGGGTTGTCCGCTTGTTTTCAGTCGCGAACGCGGGTGGCTGGTCACTCCTCATCACAAGCGCGGGCCGACATGAGCGCATGAGCCCAGGCGAAGATCCCGAGGTCTGTTGTTGCCATTGGTCGGCAAGTCGAAACTGTTACATTAGGATATGCTGACATAACACATCTGATGCACGTGATATGAATTTGGGGCAGGAAGGGCAAGGACGGGGTGGCAGGGCCCACTTTCTGATGACTCCTTCCAGAATCGTTGCCGCTTCATGGCAATGATCACAGAAAAGCTTCAGACCAGGCAGAGCGCTTCCCAAATCCCCGGTCACCCCAAAGTAGTTTCCTTCTCCTGGTCGAACAAATTCCAAGAAATCAGTCTATGCGCAGGTAACGGCACCATCGTTTAGACAATCAACCTTGCGACTGTCGACGAATCCTCTCATATCAAACTCTCGTCGTTCCACCTTCACGATGCCACATGCGGTCTCGGTACCCTCACCAGGGCTTCAAGCTCTGATCCTCTGCGGCCCTGGCTCGTCTTTCCCAACTTTTACTTCGAACCCTGATGAGAGCCCCAAGGCTCTTCTCCCCATTGCAAACCGACCCATGGTCTGGTATGCTCTTGACTTCTGCTATCGAACAGGCATCACAAGTATTGGCCACTGCTGTATGAATCCAATCTCACGCTGACCATATCACAGATATCACGCTTGTCTGCCCAGCTTCTGCTAAGGGGGCAATCGAACAGGCCTTGAATACGAACCCCCACCTGACGGCTCTGCCTCTCCCCAGGCCAGATATCCTGGCGCCAAGCGACCTTGAACAGACGACTGGCACAGCGGAAATTTTGCGCCTTGCTTCTGTTCGGGAGATCGTCAAGTCTGACTTTGTAGTTCTGCCATGTGATCTCGTTTGCGAGCTTGCTGGCGAGAAACTTGTGCAGGCTTGGATGGTCAAAGCAGCCAGCCTTGCAGAGGTGCTGGGTTCTCCAAGCCTAGCAGGAAGCAGCCGCTTCAGTGGCGGCCTGGGCGTGTGGTATGAAACCAAAACGGCTCTCGCGGTGAAGAAGGAGGAGACGGACTTCATCGCTTCCACCCCTCTGCCCTTCCCCGCAACATGTCAACAAAAAGGCTCGCTCTTGCCACACTTGTCCAACCTTGTGTACTCGATGCCGAAGGACTCTCTGAAGGATCTCACGGAAGAGAAAAGCGGCCTGCCGATTCGACACGGACTGCTTCGTCGGCATCCTCGGATTCGCATGCTCACGACTCACCGCGATGCTCATCTCTACATCTTTCCGAAATGGATACTCGACTTTATCAAGGAGAACGAGCGCTTTGAAAATATCGGCGAGGACGTCATCGGATGGTGGGCCAAGGCTGGTTGGCAGGCAGGCCTTGGAGAAAAGCTTGGCTTGGAGGAGATACTGAGAGAGGAGGACACAAAAGATGCTGCTGATTCGGTGGAAGAACGGACGCCATCACCAGATCACCAGGAAACAGACGAGCCTACGCCGGCTGTGTCTTCGAGGACCAGAAGAGCCTCTAACGCAGGAAGTATCAAGTCTGGAGAGACTGCGGCTGATGAGAAGAGTCTTATTGTGCCTCCCGTTCTTGCTTACATTCATCCTTCAACGGAAACCGCGCCACTCGTGCGCCGGGTCGACACAGCACAATTGCTCCTCAACGTGTCACTACAGCTTGCAAAGATCCCTTCTCTAGAGGAAACGCTTGGGCAAGAGGTATCGCCCTTTGCACACGCCAAAAAGGTTGCCTATCCCGAAGGCGTCAAGTCGAGAACCACCATTACTCGCCAGGACAGTCTTGTTGGCGACAACGTTACGGTCGAGGAAAAAGTCTCCATCAAAGAGTCCGTCGTGGGCGCCGGCTGTCAAATCAGCGAAGGCGCAAAGCTCTCACAATGTCTGCTTATGGATGGCGTCGTGGTTGGCAAGAATTGCAAGCTCACCAAGTGCATTCTTGGCAAGAGATGTGTGATCGGCGATGGCTCAGTTTTGACCAACTGTGAAGTCCAGGAGAACCTGCTAGTCGAAGCGAGGAGTGAGTTCATGACCTCCCTTTCCTGCCGGCAGGCAAGCCGGAGATATACTGACGAGACTACTAGCCGAGGACAAGGATAACAAGCTCATGAGCTCCGAGGGGCTGGAGGCGACAGAGGAGGAAATGCACGAGGTACTCCAGGATATGGACGACGAAGTCATGGCCGTCAACGAGGTAGCCGTCGAGTAGGCAGTGGAATCAAGCGCGACTTCGAAACACACTATTCACACACCTTCGGTCCCGGAGGTCCCTGACTCCTGGCAGGGGGGAAGAAAAATCTCCCACCATCTGCAAACCACGTTGTCGGCTTGTCCCGGGCTGACCAAACTGAGATTCAGATCCTCTAGGCGAGGTTGACAGCTGCATGACACCACGCACAGATTACTCGATCTGGTCCGATCATGGGGATCGTGAAGTTGTCGGTGTCTCGCAATTCGATGGCTAAGCGTGGCCTCGCAGCCTCCATGTGGAAGAAAAGGGGAGGCATGCAGCTAAAAAAGGCGTGGGCATGGTTAGCTTATAAACCGAAGGCGGCACCGAAGCACCGGGAACCCGATCTCTTAGGGTTTTCACGATGATGAGGTTCGCGCGATGGCGCAGTATTGGCTCTGTGACACGACCTAGGCTTCGCGCACTCCACTGATGCGCACTGGCGCGCGCGGGGACGATGCAGACGATGTGCCGGGCCCGAACCTTCGTCGTCGGCCGGAATGGAAGAGAGTACACGTGGAGATGATGGAGGGTGCACATCTCCGTCCCGCACGCGTTTAGCATCTCCGCCGCAGGTGCGGCTGAGGCAGAGACATTCTTCGACTTCGCCTCAGGGCGGAGAGTCTGGGCCCTCTCGGAGCCCGAGTCGCTTGCCATCGCTCCAGACCCTAAAAGGCGCCGAACGCTTTCCACTTTAATCCTCAGCCGTTGCTGACTTAGTCATGTCAACTAGCACGCTTCGAGGCGAGGGCCGGCCGCTGGACTGTCGGCCCGCATACTGTGCTGTGCTGTGTGCTGTGCTTCCCGTTGCTGCACCGAGCAACTGAGCACCGAGCGCTGGGCACCGAGCGCTGGGCACCGAGCACTGGGCACTGAGCCCTGAGCTAGGGGCAGAGAGGGGATTCTGGTACCGCCGTCGGCAATTGTCCCCTTTTGTCAGGGCAATCCGACTTGGCTTTCCTGGCGCCGTCAACCGCAAATTTTCGGATCACCCGCATCCACCTGCCACGAGGCACGGGAGGAGCTTTGGCTCCCGCGCTTGTGGAATCATTCGGGACGCCCCGGTGACGCTACCGATGCAACGACGTCCAGAGGGGAATTGACAGAGGCGGGGAGAGGGGACACGAGGACCTTGTAAATGGCCAGTCAGACGCACCAGTACCGAGGGCTTGTTAATGGCTCGGCACCAAGCAACCACTACGCAGGCTGTAAGGGTCGGGAATTTTTCCACTGCGCGATGCAACGCTTACGGAGCCCACGGGACTTTCTCATCCCTTTTTCCCACGCGAGCCGACCCCATCACAATACCACCCACCGCCGCCCGGCGAACGTTCCGGTCCGGGGGCCTGTAGCCACGAGAGAGGCACGGCTGGCCCCCTTGCGCTGTAGAGACCCTTATGAGACGATTCGACTGCGCTATCTCGACTGCGCATACGAAGCGAAGCCATACTGGGCAGGCGCAAGGGGGGTCAATGAATCGTGCAGTCCTCTTTGGGACGATCGAAGTGCAATAGTAATATCTCCGGCGGAAGTTTAACAGCACACCCAAGAACCCAAGAGGGGCTTACACTGGTCGAACAGGCGACGACGAATGCCAGCGACCACAATAGTCAGCGACCTGTCACATTTTTTGCGAAATTTTCCGACATGGCCTGCTGGATCTGACCAGCCATGGACGGTGGGGAGGAGCGGTTGGCTTCCCATCACCGTCGTACTCAACATGTAGGTACCCGATGTATTTCATTTTTTATTTTTTTATTTTGGTCGGGGGACGGACGAGGGGCTGCATTCTCTGTCTCTGTTGCCAATATGGGATGTGACTCGGGCCATTGCCGCACGATCCCTTGATGACCAACACGACAGTCAGCGTCAGCCGACTCGAAACAAACGAGGCAAGCCGTGACGACGCGCTTGCTGCCCTGTCTCGTAGTCTTGCAACAGTGCCTGTTCTGCAGATCAAACCGGCTCTGCGTAGTGACGGCGATCACCCGCAAGCCAAATCAGCTGATGGCTTCGATGCTCCTATTAGCTCATCCGCTGCCGCCGCCTCCAAGGCTATCCGCTCTGGACAACATTCATAACGCACACGGCGGGTGGCTTGGCATTGGTCAACGGACGGATGGGGTTTACCGGAGTGCCGGCGGATCGTGCGAGCTGGAGATCGACGCCTTCCCAGCGCCCTCGACGTCAAGGAATAGACCGAGGACAGCGAGGCGCTGCCACATCGAAACATGCCCGCGACAGGCGCGCGAAACAATGCGAGCAGGCGGCTGAACTCCTAAACAGGCGCACAGTCCGGACCGATGCCAAACATGCCTGCCTGGCAGGGTCGACCAAGTCATTCACTTTGCAACCCTGGCTCGCCTCTCACTCACTCCTACTCTGTGTCCGTTTCCTGCAGTTGCCGGGGCTCTACCAATATGGCCTAGGGGACCGATCAATGGTGGCCACGCCAGGCACCAGGGGGAGGGGGGCTCCCCAGGAGAAAGGGGGGTCGTCTCCTCTCTTCTGACCCTGGCCATGGACCGACCAGCAACCCTGCCAACTGCCCTGCCTCACTAG